AATTGTCCTTTTAAATCAAAGAAAAGTCTTCACTTAAGAAAATTACGTTGTGAAAAAAACTACGTTCATTTCTTAGTCTTAAGTCCCGACAAAGTCGACATTTTGTGTTTCTTACATATACACAATAACTCATTACAGTGCATAATTATGTATATTAAGATTACAAAATACCCGTTTTGGTTGTTAGTCCGACAATGTCAACAAAACTATATGCGTAATTGACACTTCATTCAGAACAAGGTAATATTTATCTTTCATAAACACTTTTGATTTTGTCCATCATTCTCATTTACGATAGAAATGATTTTTACATATTTGTTCAATAAATAAAAAAACAGTTATGTTAATGGTATATATATCAAGAATACACTATGATTTCAAATGTCGATTTTGTGTACGATTGAGTCTGCAAGTCATACAAGTTGGAACACTTGGATGGAATCCCTCTGACCTGATTGGTTTGTCACCACCAGTTTATCACCACAAACAGATATTGCCCACGGTTGTGTGATACCGTCCGCTGCCGTTAATAACAGTTTCCGGACGTTAGTTCCGTCCCCGGACATCTGTACCACGTTGTGGGAGTAGTAACCACAGACATAGACGTTACCTTCAATGTCTACGTCCACTCCATACGCATACTTAACTACACCAACCTTCAACACGTCCGTGTACTTGTTGTCAGTAGACAACCTACCAATCGCCGTACAGTCAGTTCTGTTGGTATGACGGGCGATAAAGAGCTGTCGGTCCTTGGAATCATGTGACAACGCGAATACTTTATCTGTATATCGATATAACGTCTTGGTCGTCCCGTCGTTCTTAACACTGCAGACTTCGGATCCTGTACTCACGACAAACTCACCATCTCTGTATGTTATACCGTAATATCGGTTTTTTTGGTTTATTATAGACGACAGTGTAAGTTTGGAGGGTGTGACAGTCACGACACGAATACTTCCGGGACTCTGTACAGCGGCCGCCACAGTGGTGTTATCCACCATTACATACACAGATCCCACGGATCTCCATCCAAGTTTAACTCGTCCACAACATCCCCCTCATCGTTTATTAACTTGATCTTCTTATTGTTGTTATCTCCCACCACAATTCTGCCGTCAGGAAAGTATACAACACCACGAGCATCACAATCAAATTGATCAGACGGACATTTTATGTTCACCTTTCTTATTTCCTTTACTTCACATTGGGATAAAGGTTTGACGAGAGCTGCGACACCTGGGAAATCTCTTCGCTGCTTTCGGACAACGACTTTACCGAAGTTCAGACTTGTCACGTCCGAATCGATTTCATGTTCAATACTGACAGTTGAAATCGACATCTGCATTTCTTTCACTAGATCCTTTCAAGCCTTGAGCTCCGTCTGACCTTTCTGGTAAAGCATTGTTATAGGTTCAAAACAAATTTTAAGTGATGCAAAATGCTTTTAGTTTACACGTATCTTGACTATTATTATAAACTCAATGTATATCCGTTACATTTGCCTGGTATAGTGAATTTCAGCCGAAATGTAACTGATGTATAAAACATCTTTTCTGAATCAAAATGGCTCAAACTCTTCGAATACGTCGAACGATTACGTATGATTAATACAGTCAAGACTTATAAAGTGCACTCATTTGCAGTTTATATGTATTACGTTTTGTGACTCATCGTGTCATTTGACTCATACAGTGAAGACTAAATGCGTGGCTCTATTTGGATTGGTTCTACAAAAACAAACATGGCTTTAGATATGAAAGAACAACGATCGTACATTTTGTACGTACATCTCAGACTAAGTCAAAATATTGTATGCATTTTATTTCTCAGAGCGAGTGTCCTGTCTCAAGTATAACAACAATATCAAATATTTATCCAATATTCCACTCAAATTTTGTGTAGGCGGCGTAATAATTGAAAGAGGATGATAGTGACGTTACATTAGAAAGAAAGACGTATGCATTACCTCAGAGTATACACATATAAAATGGATATATCCCTTTAATTATCCAGGGGCCTGTAATGCCTTACAGACTAAGGGAAGTAATACGCCGGATGTGCACATACACAAACCTAGGTACAAAAGGGGATAACTTTGGCCAGCTAATGTCTACGGCCAAATCACGTTGAAAACACCGGTTCTCGTCCGATCACCGAAGGTAAGCAACGTCGAGCCTACATATCGGAACAGGGAATTGTAAGGTGTTACGAGTTACCTCCCGTTGTACAATATACGTACCTAATTGTTCAGACTTAAAAAAGGCATACATGAAAACTGCTGTTTATTTCTTGTTATTGTTAATATTTTTCATCAGTATTCGGACATATTTCCGAGATAGTCTTCTTTTAATTATATATCCCTCAAACGAATCTGTACAAACTTACATATTCACCGATAGAAGGAGTCGATAGCATTTTTAGATTATCATGAAATTTGTACTTTGTCGAGAAATCTTACGTATAAGGTATTTATACTGAACGGCAAAATTAAGTATACACTTTTAAAATAAATTTATTGTTGCCAAACATAACGTTTACTGGAAAACCATTGCTATATACGTGAATTCGTATCATTGCAAATTTAAAAGAAATCCACAAATCGAAATAAATTTGTTAGACGTTAAGTTCAGATATTGGCTTCCATACATTTTATACCCTCAGCGCGACACACTGAAGTTATGCGCATGCAAACTGTGCCACGTGCCCTCCGTAAGCTTCCCTGTTAAAGGCCGTAAGGTTTGAGTGTGTCGGCAATATGGCAAGACTTTCAATAGCGGATAGAAATCGTGCGATTGGGGTGCTACAAGCCCGGGGATCAAAACGTCATGTGACGCGTGTGATGAATTGTACGAGATTTACGATTAAGTGCCTTTTGAAGTGTTATCGACAAGTAGAACATGTCAACCAACTCCCTGGAGCAGAACGGCGACGTGAATCTGTAATCGATGAGTAACGTCGAATCAAAACGACATTTAGTGTTAACCATGAGAAAACGCTGTGTGGCAGACAATGGCGGACACACAAAATATTGACGTGACAAGTGTATTTTGACTGTATACAGTTGTGACGTCAAAACCACGTGAAAAATTGAAATGACCCCTACGACGTTCTGTAAGACCGTTTGCCTTTTTGGTAGTTGACGGCGGACCTGATTCTGTGTAAAAGGTGTCTATAATAATTATTTTTTACATTTAAGATTTAAAATCGACTTTATTATGGTGAAATAAAATTATCCGATGCCTTTTATAAAGTGTATACTTGATTTTGGCGGTCAGTATTATTACTCAGAGTATTTTATCAGGACTCCTGTCCTCCTTCAGTCTTGTTAAGGAAAACGTTATCTTGGTTTTTATGTTCCTTTAAATTTCTTAAATGTATGTTTCAAACTTTGTGTGTGTCTAATTTGCTTCTTAAAATCTGTATACTTACCGCCCGACAAATCGTTAATTACGAATATGTGAAAACTTGTAAATTTCAACGTGGACGATACTTATGACGACATATATACATATACATTTGTATATTATATTTGCTTTTTAGCTGTGTAAACTATATATAGCTGTATATCACAAAGTATAATACATAGTATTCAAAATAAACATGATTGTGTTCTAACAATTGAGTTCCGATAAGGTCATCTCATTTAACAACGATTGCAGTGATACCCTATGACAATGCGTTTCAAATAGAATAATTCAAGCCCTGACGACCCTTCATCCACGCAGACACACATATATATATATTTGTCACCTTTCTAATTTGTAACACTCTCTCTGATTGGATATCTAGCTGGGGTCTATATTTATATAGACCCCGCTCTGCCGGGGTCTATAAAAGCACGTGCGAGGGGAGATAACTCAAACTAGAATCTCTCTTCATAGCAACAAAGATGGCGTCCGAAACACACAAACGTTCACAGGATAAAATAGCCTATTTAATTGACAGCAAATTTAACGAAACAGGCAATGAGGGGGCCGCTAGGGTGCTTATTACAAAGATGGTTTTGTATTGTCCGGTAGGGGCTATTTTGGTAGCAGTCAAGTAAGGTGACCCAAATCGGATCACCAAACCATCATCATCAGGACCCCAATCGGATCGAGGCTTGAATTTTGCAGTATCTTACACGTCAACTGAATATTTATTTGTCAGCATATTAACATTTTATGATGACCTTTAGAATTTATATGACAAAAAAGTATTTCTATAGTGTGAATTTATTTCAATAGTCCAAAACAGAATGCAAAGTCGTTGGACGTCGCGCCATTTTTTAAAAACGTTATCAAAACACTAACATTTGAGTTTGAATTACGTTTTCTGGTGCTATTCGAACTGAAAAATTAATCATCTCTAGACAAAAAAGGGTACATGGCTATCTATTCTAAGGCTACATCATTGTTATAATAACTGTTTTGTTGACACATTTATTGATTTATAAGTATTTTTGCAAAAAGTGATCCGATTTAGGTATTGTCACCTTACAACTCAAACTCACACAGTGACTTATAACTTTGCACAAAAAAAGTAATAGACTATCTAAAAAATTGTCAGGGTGACAAATTCGTTATATCTGGGTTAGGAGGCGTCTACTGGCTCATAGACCCCTTTGGTTTTTATAGCCCGTAGACCCCTCCTAACCCAGAGATAACTAATAATACACACACGTATACCATATAGCAATATATTTATAGAACGAGGGTTTGCCCAAATTTTCCCATAAATGACGCCGTTGGATACGTAAAGCCATCACATTATGGTATCCTGCGGTGGTATAACTGTACAAACAATGCCATTCCTACTCTATTGTGCATAGATAGTAAACTGATGACGTCATGTACTTCCTCTTTCGGTTTCCGTACGTGTAACGTTACTACAGTCGCTACAGCAATGATTACAATGAACGTATTCTGGGTAAACACATTCTACTTACATGTTCATTTGGTGTAAATGGTGTCACTTCTATTCAAATATAAGTACGGAATATGTCTGACTGTACTTACCGCTCCATCAATGAATAAATATGGTTGTAGTCTTTGAAGTGACGAGGTGTAGATGTGGGACACGTCCCCGTTGTTATCTCGGCGCCCTTTAGAATGTGACTCAGTACACTAATAACACGTCCGTACATTGTAATGCCGGGTACGACATATCCGGATAACTTACGGATTGTTTACTACACATAGCTTGTTTCGTTTAGGATATCTACTAGAGAACAAATTAACACATCATCCTTACAGGTGTATTTTATTGACAATTTACGTTTTAAGACACACACCCTCCGGTACAACGAAATTTTCTAGAGCTTTTATCACTTACATCATTGAATTTCATGAAAATGATATCCGATTAACTTCAGACTAGGTAATCCAAAACTGTTCATTTACTCTATACTTTACAGTTGATCAGTAAGTACAGGTACTGAGATCTAACGGAAATCACGACATGTATGATATGAATAGATAACATAATTTCTTTTGGTATATCAATGTGTTACGAAACCAGAGTAAAATTAGACGGAAAATTCCAACGTCTCAAATCAATAAATTCTTATAAAATATCAACGTTTAACAAGCTGATATTTGATATACTTTTTTTGGGGGGG